TGGATTCTAGTCAAATTTTTAGATAATAATTAAATATTAAAAACATAGCATGAATTTTGATATTAAAATTTTTTTAAATTCAATTGCCAATGATGTGACGAAGATTGGCCCATTAAAGGCAAATTAATGGCACTTTATTAGCAGAAATTTTGTATTTTTGATGGCAAAATATAATTGCCAGAATTGGGGCGTTGCTTGGCCTAATAATGGCACATTCACGGCAAAGTTGATCAATCTTTAATGGTAAAAGACAATTGCCAGTGATGTGACGAAGATCGGCTCATTAATGGCTCATTATTGGCACTTTAATGGGAAAAAAATTGTTTCTTTCATGGCAAATTATAATTGCCATGAATTAATTGTATTGGGACGTAGCTTGGCTCAATAACGGCACAATATTGGTAAAGTTGATCAATCTTTAATGGCAAAATTCAATTGCCAGTGATGTGACGAAGATCGGTCCATTAATGGCTCATTAGTGGCACTTTAATGGCAAAAATTTTGTATCTTTGATGGCAAAATATAATTGCCAGAATTGGGGTATAGCTTGGCCCAGGAATGGCACATTAATGTCTATCATTTTGTATCTATGATGGCAAATTATAATTGCCAATATTGGGACGTAGCTCGGCCCAACAATGGCACAGTATCGGCCAGTGTAGTGTAGCTTATAAGAACCCATTTGCTTCCTCGACTTCAAATCAGAGTAGCAGAGTGGTCAGAGTGTTAGGCTGTGGTGCGTCAGGTTCAGGTATCGATCCCTGCGAGAGGTAAGAATTTTTCAAATTTTTCAAATTTTTCAAATTTTTTTACACTGTAAAAAAATCTGGTGTAAATTTACTATGTCCGACGTTGGAAAGTTTGGTCACTATGTCCGACGTGGTATTTTTACACGCCGACTGTAATCTACATAACCTGCAAATATTTTTTGAAATAATATTTTCAGTCGTAACTTTTTGTATTTATGAAATATAGCCCAAAACTTTTTGTAATATTATTATTTACTTATGAATTAGCATATACTTTCTATAAATGTACATTATATACACTTTTTTAGAGTTATTTATAAAAACTTGAAAATTTTTCGAAAATCTTAAAGGAATAAGAAAATTACATTCGCCATGTAATTGTACAGATCGTGCGACGTAATATTACGTCAAAGTGTAGAAATACACGCAATGTAAAAATACCACGTCGGACATAGTGATCAAATTTTCCTACGTCGGACGTAGTAAATTTACACAAAACTATTAAATTACATAGTCGTATAATGTAAAATTATTAAAAATAGTAAAACTACTTTTGGAACGAAATAAATTTACTACGTACAACCTATAATTTTGATGTGTGAAATTACAAGTTTTGTGTTATTTTACACCAGATTTTTTTACAGTGTAATTAGTTAATTGAATAAAAAAAAAATTATTTTTATTTTTTTCTAATTTTGTCAACACTGGGGGAGTAATGGCAGCCAATATTGGGCCATTAATGTCTGCCGAGATCTGGCTGCCGACGTCCAACCGCTGTTAACACCACAAGAGTCGGCGCAAAGTCGGGCCAATATTGTCTGCCAAGTCTCGATGCCAGCTTTGCCAATACTGGGCCAGTGTTGGGCCGCGTTGGTTTTCGCACTTGGGTATTGTCATCAAAAATTACTTATCGCTTCTTTTCTCTTATTTCTTTATAAAGAATCTTATTTGATTTGTTCCTACAATAATAAATTAATAATTTCAAATCAACTTACAATATTCAAACTACAGGGTCACTGCATTTAAATATTAGGTTGATGATATTATTTAATCAATCGATTTTAAGTGCGTTAGACGGAGGTTGATATTTCTAATATCAATGAGACTTTAATTGATTTAATTTATTTTATTCAATTCAAACTATTTCATAAAAATGTTAATAGTGGGGAGACTGTTGCACACAGTTTATTAAACTTCTTTGTTGCCAGGCAAGCTTTCTGCAAGCTTGCAAATTCTTAAAGTTGGCTAACACGAGTTCATTGCTCGAAATCCACTATCCTTTTAATATGTGTTTCTTTTCTTGGTATTTAAACCAATACATTTAGAGTCTTCCACAAAAATAACTTTTTCGAAATATGGGTGTTGTCCATTAGGGTGGTCCAAAAATACGTTAAGAAAAAAAAAGTCGGAATTTTTTTGCTCTCACCCCCCAGGATTGAAGTTTGTAGGAAAAAAATACCCCTGTTTTTTTTCTTCATAATAAAATAATATTAACCCGTGCCTCAAAGCCTTTCAAATTTCTTATGTATTTTAAATGAGAAAAAAACCACTTTTCGTAAATTTAATATAAAATCTAGAGAAAATTTTTTTTCACTCGGTTAAGGATGCTTTTCTTCTAGAGTATTTAAGGAATAAAATCCTTTTACATATTTAACATATTTTTTATTTTTTTTTTTTAGTTTTGAAAAATTCTCAAAAAACGGTAATATATTATTTTTTATTACTTATTATCATTTTTTCTCATCTATTGTAATTCAATTGGCTTTTATGAATCTATCAAATATTAAATTCATAAAACCATTGTATTACAATCAATGAGAAAAAATTATAATAACGAATAAAAAATAATAAATTACCGTTTTTTCCTTTTTTGAGAATTTTTCAAAAATAAAAAAAATATAGAAAATAAAAAATTTGTTAAATATGTAAAAGAATTTTATTCCTTAAATACTCTAGAAGAAAAACATCCTTAACCGAGTGAAAAAAAAAATTTTTTCTAGATTTTATATTAAATTTACGAAAAATGTTTTTTTTCTCATTTAAAATACATAAGAAAATTGAGGGGCTTTGAGGCACGGGTTAATATTATTTTATTATGAAGAAAAAAACAGGGGTATTTTTTTTCCTATAAACTTCAATTCTGGGGGGTGAGAGCAAAAAAATTCTGACTTTTAGTTTTTTGGACCACCCTATTGTCCATACTTCTTAACGATTCTTAATTTTAATAAAATAAAATGTCATTTAATATTGTTGGCACAAAAGAAAATATATATCCAAATTACTATTTAGGTAAAATTAAGGATAAGAAATAGTAAATTTGTTACCTTTCAAGGATAGATCGTTTAAATTGTCTTTGTGTAAATTATTTGTATGCAATAGTGTACTTAAGTATTAAACAAAAATTATCAATTGTTCTTTAAGAACAAATGTTTAAAGCTCAAAACCTGATATACCAAAATTTTTTACAAGTAATTTTGAAAAAGATATAACAAAAAAACGAAGACTTCAAAAATTTACTTTCAAGCGTCAAATCACTTTCTCTACCATATTTTTAAGAATAATAAATGAATAACAATGAAACTTGGTACAAACTTACAGTATACCAAGTACATTATTTTGATCGGAAACCGAAATTACTCTGACTTTTATCACTTTTGAATAAATTAAAGTGATTCATTACAGCTCTGATCCATTACCGTGAACAAAAAAATCAGTCTTTTTGATTAAAATATCAAATCGAGTCAATAAGCGTGAAATCGAAAGATTCAAGAGGATAGAATTGACGGTGAGAAAGCAGGATTGTCAGAATGCCCCTAATACGGTTTTCACTCGAAAAAGTATTGGCAGCAGAGATGTTAACTATTTCAAATAAATCTATTTCAAATGCAAAATAGAAAATGCAAAATGCCTATTTTCATTTTACATTTTGAATGCATTTGCCGAAAACCATTTTGCATTTTGATTTGAAATGGTTTTTTTCATTATTTTGTATTTGAAAATGCAAAATACAAGAAAAATTTTTTTATATTGTAGCAATTTTTTCTTTTAAGGAGATTCTTCGGCTAATTCATTTTCTTTTAAATTTTACCAAACTTTATGGGAAAATATTCATTTTTACATACTAAAAACGGAAATTTTCAGGTTCAAAGTTTTAATATTTACATATAGGATTTCACATCAAGCATTCGAAAATGAGATATTTTATTTAATTGCTGAAAAAGTTTTCTTACAATTTTTTCAAAAAATTAGTTTATTGTATAAAGTCAAATTCATAAAATAATATATAAAACAGTTTCATAAGGGATACAATAATCTTATTTTATGGAAAAGTCAAAAAGTTACGTAAAAATAAAGTTCATTTAAAAAAAAGCATTTTATTTTGTAAAACCATTTTGAAAATGCGTATTTTCTATTTTGCATTTGAAATAACTTTTTGAAAACTATTTTATATTTTATATTTGAAATACTTTTTGTGATACCATTTAGTATTTAGCATTTTAAATAGGTTTTGAGACCCATTTTTAACATCTCTGATTGGCAGAAACTCGCCGCCAATTCTATTCGCTCACTGCCAATTCTGCCTTTTTTATTGAGGAATTATTGGTTTTAAAAATAATCAAATTTTACTTATTGGCCCGAGTAAAAATTCAATTTCATCTCCGAATCTCTCTTAGGGGAGAGTGGGGCAAAGGCGCTATGAGGGGCAAAGACGTTTTTTAAAATATCTCCTTTATTTTCTTTCTATTTCAATTGGTATTAAAAATTAAGTTGCAATGCAATCAGACCAATTGATTAAAAAAACAAAAACCTAAAAATATCAAATATTTTAAGAAATATAACAAAAAAATTGTTTTTCAAAAATAAAATCATAATTTTACTGAACAAACTTTAATTTTTTAAAACATAAGTTTAAGTATTTAATTTTTAAAAACGTAACATGTAAATAAATTAAATATTTCTCTACACAACTGGCGTGGTGTTTTAGTTTAATTTTGTATCTAAATATTTTAAATTTAAAGTAAAAAAAAAGTTTGTTATGTGGGGCAAAGGCAATAATGAACATAATTTGGTTAAAAACAATTGAATATTCGAATTTTCTATGTATGTATTTCTATGCTCACCATCATAAATTAGTCCAAACTTGTTATAAAATGACAAATTTTTCTTGAATGTTCATTAGAATTTCTAAAAAACCTATTGACAGTAAAATTAACTTTCATTTTCTGTTGATTATTAAAATTCTCCACTTACTGTAGTATCAACAGGCTTAACTTTATCAGCCGGAATATATTTAACTTTCTTGTTCTCTTTGGAAGCGAAAACGGCTCCATAGGAGCCTAAAGTTATTATAATCGTATTGCATCCCATTTGTAAAAGTTTGTCAACTGCTTTTTCAACATTTTGAAGTGTAAGATTTTCAATTCCAGTTATGCTTTCAGCCTGCAAATACAATTCTGATTATTTGTAACATTTGTTTGACTAAATGTAGAAAAAGTTACTATGAAGTGAAAATAATTTTGTTGAACTTAAAATCTGAAATTAATGTTTTTATTACTATATTATTTACCTCGGATTCATTGATACAAAATACGTCGGCCAGTTTAAAAATTTCAGGAGGAATATTTGCAACTGCAGGTGCTGCATTTACTATCGATAAGCCTATTTTCAAAATAAATTATTTGATACGCATTTCGATTCACTAAAACAAAGTTAGAACTATCATTATATAGAATTTCATCTGGTAGAAATTTCCTTTATCCGTCTTTTTATGTATCCTTGTTAATAAATGTCTTATGCAGAGTAGATAAGCAAAATATATAATAAAGGATTTAGAATTTAAACAAATGTTCAACAATATTAATTTGTAAATCGTACAAGTTCTGTTTAACAGAATTTTTTTTATTCTAAATTTCGTATTTGCGAATTTTTATTTACTTTTATTTTCATTTCAACGAATTTTTATAATAAAAAATTTGTCCATAATCGAACTTTCATTAAACAGAATTCACATTAGATCGAATTTTAATTTTTCAACATTTTCATTTCCTAAAATTTATATTAAATAGAACAGTAATTTAAACAATTTTTTAATTGACAGAAAAAATGTTAAAATGAATTCCTTTTTAGCCGAATTTTTATTTCACTGAACCGAAATTCAATATTAGAAAGATCTATACCTAATGGAGTCTTTTCGGACAATTTATATTTCTATTAACTAAACTTTCGTGTTCTTGAGATATCGGCGAATTAGAAATTCGTGCATATGTCAATTCTGTCACATTTTAATTCTATAAAATAAAATCTACAGCATATGAACATTTGTTAGAACAAATGGAAATTCTACTAATCATAAATTCTGTACAATTGAATTTCGGATGTGAAACTGTCAAATAATATTTTAGCAATTAAAAATTTTGAGAAATCAAAATCTGATCTAATGTGAATTCTGCATAATGATAGTTCGATTAAGGATAAATTTTGTATTTTGAAAATACTTCAAATGAAAATCGTAGGGTAGAACGGGATGAAAAAGCTAAGGTGCAAAAAAGACATTTGACTTTTATTTAAAAACTGTTAAACCAACTTATCAGCCATTTCACGGTGGCCCTAAGCACACTTTAACCCAAAAAAATTGTGGTGGCTGACATAAAAAGTTGCATGTATGTGCCAAAATTATTAAAAACGGTTTTACTTGCAAACATTGCGACACATACATGGTCTGCAGCTGCAAGACTTACACTTCTTACACTGTAAGAAAATTTTTGGAAATTTTCCCAAAAAAATTTAGGAAGCAAATTCCACTAATTATTTAGAAAAATTTCCTAACATAAATAAGGGAATTTTTCTAAAAAATTATAGAAAATTTCCTATAAATTTAGAAAAAATCCCCAAAGTTTAGGAAAATTTCTGAGAATTTGGAAAAATTTGAATATTATTTGAATATTTACATAAAAAATCAAAACTGTTTATATTGTTTTCTGATATGTTATAATGAAAGGAAATTAACTAAAAAAAAGCTTTATTAGCATTATTACGGAAATGCGACACCACGATTTGAACTCTTAGTCGTATATAGTGTTGACTGTGTATAGTGTATTGTATGGAGCCATCAAACCTTGGGAGCTGCGCCTAGACGCACTCGACCAAGGGCGGCTATGAAAATCTCTTGCAAAGAATCAGTTGTAAGAAACATGTGGACCGTACCCTGTTTTATGACTTCTTCTAAATTTCTAAAGATCCAATATTTTCAAAACTCTTCACTAACCGATTTATTCTTTAATTTTTTTCTCTTCATGTTTCTGTTAAATTTATGACATGTATTAAGATGTTTGAGAAATATTTTAAAAAATGCTTTATACACAGAAAATTTTTTAAGCAAAAATATTTTTCTATTTAATTTAGCAGTTTTTAAATTTTAATCAGTAAAAAATAACTAACTATATTAATTAATTAATTGCATTGTAATTACATTACAGTGCATGTAATATATAAAGTAGAAAAATTCCCGCAACAATTTGGAAAAATTCCTTTAAAGATTTAGAAAAAAAAATTCCTAAAAATTTGTAAATATTCCCTCAAACGTTTATAAAAATCCTCTTCCCAACAGAATTTAGAAAAATTTCAATTCGTATCTAAAAATTTCTAAACACTCAGGAAAATTACCATTTTTTTTTTTGGGAAAAAATTTTTTCTAAACACGTTTTAGGAAAATTCCCATGCAAAAGTTTGGAAAAATTCCCGAAATTTTTAACAGTGTATAAACACTTATTAGGGATCTAAACTAAAGCTTGGAATAGAAACCTCTGATTAATTTGCTTTCATAAAGAATTTTTTCAAAAAAAGCTTAGGCGGTCCACTCAAGGTGACATTACCCTATTGATTTACACCCGGAATTAGAAAATTTCCTAAAATTGGAGGTAAATCAGGAGAGCATTTCCGAGGTATCTGTAGGCAGATTTCCCAAAAGTCCCTAAGCAAAAAAAAAAAAAAAATAAATAAAAAAAAATAAATAAATAAAAATAAAAAAATCAGGAGAGCATAGTTTCTAAGAAAGGTTTAAAAAGAAAGTTACCATAAGTATACTACTGTCCTAGTGGGCACACTTGTTCAAAAGACGTCCTAAGGATGTCTTTTGCGGACGTCTTTTGGATTTGTACAAAAAGACGTCTTAAAGACGTCCTATACATGTTCTATGTCTTGGCCAATAGATGGCTTTAAAATGTCTAAAAGACGTCTTTTAGACATTTTAAATCCATCTATTGGCCAAGACATACTGATTTGCAATCAGATTTGATTAGACTAACAAGTTGGTGTTTTCAAAATAACATGTCTTTTAACACTAAAAAATGCTCGGTCATTTCTTTTTCCAAGAATAAACGTACTCTTTACTATTTGTATACAATTGGGCAAGACGAAATTGAAAGGGTGACTCAGGTTTGTGATTTGGGTATTATACTCGATAGTTCCTTATCATTTAATTCTCATATCTCGGAAACCATTAGTAGAGCTCTTAGATCTCTGGGCTTTGTTATGAGAAATGCCTCGTTATTTCGAAATGAACGTACTCTAAAAGTACTATTCTTTACTTTTGTATTAAGTACACTGTAAAAAATTTTTCGGAAATTTTTCCGAAAAAATACGGACAGCACGGAACTCCAACCGGTGGAAATTTTTCCGAATAAATAAAAGGAATTATCTCCCATGAATTTCGGAAATATTTCTTACTATTTATTCGAAAATTCTACATAAATCATTTGAATATTTATGTAAAAAATCAAAACTGTTTATATTGTATTCTGATATATTAAAAAAAATGTAAATTAATTTAAAAAAAATTATTATTTACATTTTTACGGAAGAATCTATTTATCTATCTACCACGATTTGAACTCTCAGCCTTATAGTGCTGTCTGTGCGTAGGGTTTTTTTTAATGGAGCCTTCAACCATTGGGAGCGCACGCTTAGACGCGCTCGACCAAGGGAGGCTATGAGAATCTGCTGCAAAGTATCAGTTTTAAGAAACATGTGGAGTAAAATCTGTTCTTTCTAACTTCTATGGAATTTCGAAAGATTCAATCTCTTTAAAACTGTTGACCAACCGATTCATAGTATTGTTAACTTTTTTCTTTTCACATTTCCGTTAAATTTATGATATATATTTAGATTTTTGAGGAATATTTAAGAACTACTTACTGCATACACAGACACAATTTTGTAGAAAAATTATTTTTCTAATTTATCAGTTTTTAAATTTAAATCAGTAAAAATAAACTAATTATTACTCTTTAAATTTAAGTAAGTGAAAATTCGCTTAGAAAAGTTACGTCAAAAATCTTTCACGCAAAAAAGTACGTGTATGTAGACTTATTTATAAATGATTTTTCATTTATTTTTAAATATATATACATACACGGAGAAAAAAATGCTGTTGAATCAATGACATATGGGTTTGATTCATTGAATAGTGTCATAACGGGCTGCCTAACGTATATGCTGTTGTTTTGAAAGCACCGATTCTAATGATTCGATAGTATCACTTTCTTTGAAACAAAAGCATATTTCTCAAATTGACAGCATACTATGTTAATTCGAAGGTGAATCCTTTTGAATCAATAAACAAAAATTTTTAATTTAACAGTATATGCTTTTGAGTCAATGACTATAACTTTTAAATTTAAAAGCATCATTTTTATGATTCAAAAATTTGTACTCTTAAATTTTTTAGTTGTTGCTATCGATTGAATAATACCATACTGTTAATTCAATTCTTTTATGTGGTTAAATATATACCAACGATAAATTGAAAAAAGGGAATTTTTGTTTACATGTTTTTTATATACTATAATTAATTCTCACACCTTTAACACAACACTTTTTATACCGAAATTAGGTGGAAATTACGGTTTTCCGAATATTTAGTAGGAAATATTTCCGAAATCAGTAGGAGGAATACTTTTTCCACAGAAAAATGGAAATTCTTCCTCAATATTCGGAAAATTTTCCGAAAATGATGGATTTTTTTCCAATATTTGTCGGAAATATTTCCGAGGAAAGATGGAAAAATGTTTCTTCCACAGTAAAACGGAAATTATTTGTTAATATTCGGAGAATTTTCCGGACCTTACGGATTTCTTTCCAATATTTACAGGAAATATTTTCAAGGAAAGTAGGAAAAATATTTCTTCCATAGTAAAACTATAATTATATAAAGTATATCAATAAATTATTTTTTTCACATTTAATTTATAATTATTAGTTAACGTTTTTTTCACTAATTACTAAAGAAAAAAATCCGATATGTGTATTTATATGACGGGTTCCACGTTAAGTGACCCAGGTCAAAATTTTAAATGTTTGGGATCGGGTTAAAATTTTGCAGAAACAGTAGTCCTATTAGATACAATTAAAAATACCAAATATTATTAATTTATTTAAACAAATATTAAAACTGGAGGGGGTCAAAGTTTAAATTTTTGGTCTAACATGGAATATTTGAAAAATTTGTAGTTTCTTTAAAACAAAACGAAAATACGTTTTCTATTTTGGGTTTTTCTGCTGTTTTTCAACACTCTCTAATGGTGTAAACAAATGTAGAGAAAAAAAATGTTAGACCTTGAAAAATTAAATTAAAAAATAAAATTTCATTTTTTCATCAAATG